CACTGCCTTAAACCAAATGGTTTTTGAATGACTGTTGATCTCCCTAACTTGCCAGTTGGGACATTCTGTCATCTTCTGCTTCAAACCACGGGAGAATTTCTACTATTTACTGTGGAGGCCATTAGCTGGAGAAGATTGAACTAGCAACATCAAAATTACAAGTTGACTTTTGCCATTTGTTCAATTCGCTTCCCGGATCTTATTCTTGCTGTCCTTTTCATTTTGCCCACTAGGTGGCAGCATACAACTGCCGTGTAAAGATTATTTTATTGAATAAACCTGAGCCTGCAGGTTTTGAAAATTTAGCCTGCATTTTCTGGACCACCAGTTTATATAAACTTTGAAAAACGCATGATGGCATCCCACAGACAACTGTTGTAAGATCAAAGGGAACACAGGAATTTCTCATCAAGAAGATAACAAAAGTACAGTTCTAAGGAGAAACTTCTGCATATTAGAAAATGTTTGGATGCCTAGAAGGTTTTTGGCTGCCAAGAGTTAGGCGTATGAATAGGAAACACAAGATGGGTGGAATCGCCAAGAAACCAGACCGCTAAGTAATTAATGCCTGCAGAAAGAAAGATAAAAAGGAGATTAAAACACAAAAGGAACTTTGCAAGTAATGTTGATAACACAAAAGGTGTTTTGTGGCTATGTGAATAGCAGAAGGAAGGGCAGGGCCTACTCATTGGTGAAAACAGTACTGCCATTCAATTCCTACTTGGATGGGGTCTTCAAAGGAGCACTCTGTTCTGTGCGAAGTCAGCCCCCCCCCAAGGAAATATTAAAGAGGCAGAAAAGCATGCTCAGTTTTTCTTAATAGCCCAAGTTTCCCTCCCCCAAGCAGAAATCAGCTCTGTAGAAATGCAGATATAAATAATCCAGCAAGGTTGGAGGCCCCCAGCTAGAAGCTTAGAAAAACACCTAAAATCTACATACCCCACCCAAACTCTTAAGACGGGACATAATAGGATTAACCCACAGATGCCAAAGGGCACACTCAGACTCAGGTCAAAGTTCATGCCACAGGAACAACTCCAAACAAAAGACTCCAGAGGGTATAAAAACCCATTCCCTACATGTGCGCTCTCTTCTTACAGAGCCATCTTTCTGTCTGGCTCTCTTCTTCAATAAACTGCAACCTTCTTTCTAAAGCAGTCGCCATGTTGTTTATTTCTGGCTTGAACTGAACCATGATGGAGATTTTTCCTTCAACAGTTCTGGTGGACATAAGTAATGTAAATGACACAGTGGAGTATGGTGGTCCTTAGGTGCTACCATGAATGAGTTTCCTTTGCTGAAAGGCTTTGTAGATGTCATCTTGAACCCTGTTTCTTCAAATATTGCAAAATCATAGTGCAAGGGGATCAGAAAAGAGTCAATGCTTTAAAAGGGGGAAAAAAGAGGACCTGGGAACTATGGACTCATCGGCTGAAAGTGAATTCAGACAACACTTTAGAACAACATCTAAAAACCCGCAAACAACAGGCACCATATAAATACGCACAGAAAACAGCCCAAAGTACACACACTCTGCTAGAGACAAATTCCCTGAAGACGGACTCCAGCACAAATCCAAAAGCTTGGAAGACAAAACTCTGGTCCCAGTGACCGACTCTACTATTAGAGTCTTCCAAGGCTTTCATTCTTTCCTTGTGGTTTCCTCGGAGGAGGTGGGCAGCAACCCAAGAAGTGGGTTGGGGGTTTCTGCTGCATCTCTCACTTCTATTTTTGTGGCGATGAATGGGGATGGTCTGCTAATCTTTTCACCCAGAACGTTGTCCAAGGAGACAACCTAGGCAGGAGGGTTGACTCACACCGGAATTGGCACTTCACACAGTTCACAAGCCACAATGGAAACAGGAAGCAAACGCTGGGTCCTCTGCCGGTTGTGGGGGCTTCTAAAAAAAAGGTTTTAGTTCAACTTTGAAATCCCCCTTGGGAGGGATGCGAAGGAGGAAGTGAGGGTCTACTCTGTGGTTTGAAGCAAAAACTTTAGGTTCAACGCTCTTTCTACTTCGCAAGAGTACCTTGTTTTCCACAAAGTGGAACTTTTCATCTCCAGCCCTCCATTAAGTGAATAAGCTGAGTACAGGTAGTCCTTGACTTACAGCCATTCATTTAGTAACAGTTCAAAGTTACAACAGCACTGAAAAAAGTGACTTATGACTGGTTTCCACATTTACGACCCTTGCAGCATCCCCGGGGTCGCAACTGGCACGTATTAATGGTGGTTGCGAGTCATGGGGTCACCTTTTATAACCTTCTGACAAACACAGAACATAGAATAATAGAGTTGGGAGGGAGTTTGGAGATGTTCTAGTCCAACCCCCTGCTCAAGCAGGAGATCCTATGCCAGGGGTAGGCAACCTTGGCTCTTTTATGACTCGTGGACTTCAACTCCCAGAATTCCTGAGTCCACATGGCTCAGCTTGGAAGCCTCTCCCTGTCCCCTCAGCATGGCTGGCTCAGGAATTCCAGGGGTTGAAGTCCACAAGTTATAAAAGAGCCAAGGTGGCCTACCCCTGCCCTATGCCATTTCGAACATCTCTTCTCAAAAGCCTCCAGGAATGGAGAACCCACAACTTCTGGAGGCAAGCAGTTCCACTGGCTAATTGTCCTCACATTCTGGGAGGTGAAGCCCACAGGTCTTCAAGTTGCCAAGGTTGGGGACCCCTGCACTAGAAGACCTCTGGGGCCCCTTTCCAACTCTTATTCTTTATTCTGCTTAGCTTCCAAGCTCGGTCAAGACTGGCCAAGTCCTGCCACCTGCTACACGTCACGGTAATCCTACCCTTTGAAAAGACTGAATCCCAAGATCTCCTCAAAGCAGGATGCGTTTTCCCAGGAGAGGAGACGTGCCAGAAAGTGCGGCCATGTTGGAGAAGGCTCAATAGCTGTTGTCTGTGCTTGTGTCATGGCTGCCTTTCTGCTAAGCTACGCCTCGCAAGCTGACAGCCTGCCATTAACAATGAGGGGAGGGAGCAGGGATGCAGGGATGGAGACGTGGAATCAAAACTAAGCCGTACTGTCCCGTGAGTGGCACCAGCCATTCTGAGACCATGCCAAAAGAATGCGGAATGTGCGAGCCCCCGAAGTAAGGGACCGTCACCCAAATAATGTGTCCATACCTAATTGGACAGTCTGTGATAACCAGGGGGTTGGCTGGGAACGGGGAAAGTTGACAGTATCTTTTGTGCATGAAAACCTCAGATCCAGTTTTGCTTCTTCGGTAACCACTTTGGCTTTAGTAAAGTGTACTTTTGGTTAATCGTGGACCAGGAGTCTTTCTTTCCTAACTGACCAAGTTGGGGTGGTTGACATTCTATGAGAACTTGCAGAAGTTACACATTCCGTCGTTCAAGTAATACTAAATGCTTTAGTTTAAGCAATATCTGAAGTCCTCGCAACCAGTTCTTGTTCATTTCCATGGAACTTGTGAATTGTGTTCTAGGTTCCTTCGTGGCTGCCCATTGGGGGTTTCCATCTGCTCTGAAGACGGGCTGAAGAATGGCAGTTACTTATGCAAAGAGAAGGTTTCCCCAGTTTAAAACTCACAAGGAAAACTGTTTTGGGACTTCAGATTTTCTTCTGTTCTCTCCTCTCAGGGCTTCAAAACTAGGTTTGCTTCGGACGCAAAACTCTGAGGAAGCATTGGACAATCCAAGACTTTTCAAGAGGACGAAAAACCAGTTTCCCTACAAGCCACCCGTAAGTAGCAGCTATGTTTAAATGGGCGGCACCTTTCCACATATATGTCATAAAACATGCCCCAACATGTAGTTGGAAGCCGTTGGACAATGGTTCCCAAACTTTTCTTTATGTGGCTGACTAGATTGTAATTTAAAAAAATTTAAGGCCCACACCACATCAGTTGAGGCCAATGGTTCGATCCCTTGTGTCTTGGGATCAAAGAAGTAGCCTCCTCACCATCCCAAAACTAGATATAAGAAATTGGAAGCCACTGTTTTGGGGCAGAGAAACTCCACTTGTATAAATTGGGGGTTGCTTAGTGCTCTTGTAGAGATTCTGGAAAGAGTACAGAAAAGAGCAACAAAGATGATTAAGGGGTTGATAGCTAAAACATATGAAGAACAGTTGCAGGAATTGGGTTTGTCTAGTCTAGTGAAAAGAAGGCCAGGGAGCTTCCACATCTGAGGGGTTGCTCAAACTGGCTCTAATGCTAATCCAGGATCTAACTATAGTACCATACTGGTAAATAATACCCCTAAATATAAAAACAAATGGCCACATGGTCAGAGAGCCCAACCTGCCAACCCCAGTCCTGCGAGGTAGGAACAATGCTGTTTCCTGCAAAGTCATTTTGCATCAGGCTGCCTTCCAGGAAGGAATGTGTTGTGTGTATGGAGTTGCACAACTCTGGTTCCACCCAAACCTCCTTAAAATGGGTGGTGTGGGAAAAAACAGAGAGCTATCATTGAAGAAGTTAGCTTCCTGCTGCTGTTTAAATTCACAGGTGTGTCTCTGTGTGTGGGGGGGGGGGCAGAACAGGTTTTTTTTTTGCTCACACACACATAGAAAAGATTTTGGTTGGTCTCAGTCAGCCAAATGTTTTGATTGGATTTGGCTTTTTTGTTCACCTATCGAGTCCTTCCTAAGCGCCTGGGATGGGCAGTTGCTGTTGTTTAATAATATTGAAGGTACTGTAAGGTGTTATGAGTAAAGCTTCTGTTACCCCCCTCCTTCCTTTCCCTAGGGTGGGGGTCCCCAAGCTTGGCAACTTTCTGGTTGTGCTATGCCTTAAGCTATGCTAGCTGAAGGATTCTGGGAATTGAAGTCCACAAGTCTTAAAGTTGCCACGTTTGGAGACCCCAGCCCTCAAAGAATGAAAGAGATGGGCCACCCAGTGTCACTTCCTTGCCCTTTCCTTTCGCATCCATTTCCCCCTCCCTCTCTTTATTCCGTTTACTTTTCCCAGAGCCCCAGAAGGGAGGCACCCTGGGTCATTAAATGGGAGGAAGATCCTCTGCACAACCTTTCTCTCGTTTTTTTCTGGCTGCACGTGGCTGGCTGCCGTTTGCATAAAGTTGGCAGCTTTCCTGCGATCTGGGGAGCTCCACGCCCAATGGCTGAGGAGCCTGTTAGACAGGAGAAGCCCTCTAATTAAGCAGGAGCCAAAATTGGGGGTCTCAGTCTGTCGGAATCAACACACGCAATGGCTTGGCTTTGTTGTCCATGGTCATTCTTTGAATTGAGGTCTCTCAAGAACAGTGAAAGAACAGACATTGCAGAACCTACTCTAAAGGATGAAGTTGTTGAGGGCTTTGTACACCACAGTCCAGAGTTGTCCACAAGGTATGGTCAAAGCAGTGCAATCAAAGCCTCCTTTGTGATACCCATTAAAACATCAGTAGAGCGTCAATCACACTCTTATGGCCACCGTCTTTCCCTTTTTTTGACCGCACCCTGTGGACACGTTGGTTGAAGCCTTAAGTTGCTTCACTTCCATATATGAACAGGCTGGGAATTAAGAGGCTTAAGAAATTGCCGTCTGGATTTTTTAGCTTGTACAAAGATGCTGGCCGAGAGTAGTGTCTGGGCAAGAATCACCATCTCCCGTGGTTGGAGATTCTTCTGCTTCTTCATGCCTGTCTAGTGACTGTCTAATCTCTTCTTAAAGATCTTCAGTGATGGAGCACCCACAATTTCTGAAGGCAATCTGTTCCATTGGTTAATTGTTCTCACTGTTAGGGAGTTTCTCCTTAATTCTAGGTTGCTTCTCTCCTTGATGAGTTTCCATCCCTTGTTTCTTGTCTTGCCTTCAGGTGCTTTGGAAATAGGTTCACCTCTTCGTCTTTGTTTGAGCCCGTCAGATATTGGAACACTGATATCATATCATCCTTAGTCCTTCTTTTCTCTAGACTAGACCTACCCAATTCCTGCAATCGTTCTTCAAATTGCCAAGGTTGAGAAACATCAAACATAGCAAGGAACCTGTGAATGCCAAAGGTATGGAGCTACAACTCCTAATCAAGCCAACCAGCCTGGCCAATGGTGAAGGATGCTGGGAATCCCATTCGGCTACTTCCACAGAGTCAAATAATCCCTATTTCATGGGCTAGAAAACATGTTCTTGAGGTTCATCTCCTTTTCATTTCCAAGACGCCAGATTATTTCCCCCAGGCGCCCTAACATTATCTCCAGTCTCAGTGGCGGCTTTGACCTACTGAACTACATCCCAGGCTCTGGGACAAGCTCCGGGAAAGACTGGCTCTCTCCCAGGAAGTCAGAATAAATAAGGGACTGTCTCCAACCATCTCCATCCATATTTCAGCTGGAGTTGCAGGCTTGTCTCAAAACAAGGGAGGAGGCATATCTGGGAAGAGGTAACACTGCAGTTTTGGAACCTGCTTGGCTTGGGCACAATTCCCGGTGATTTTTGAATTGGTAGCAGGAGGAGGTGTGTTGCCTGGCTTGTTGGACCTTCTGTCAATGATAAGGAGGGAAGGGGGAGAGGGAGAGAGAGAGAGAGAGAGAGAGAGAGAATTTGTTTAGATTTTGATATCTGGGCTACAGAAACATAAAGAACCACAAGATGGCAACAGAGAGACAGAAAATTCCAACCTTTTGCTGCTATCTAGTGGTTGGTGAGGTTTCTGCAGCCCAGATCTAATAAGTAGTTCTAAGACAGTGTTTCTCGACAATTTTAAGGCATGTGGACTTCAACTCCCAGAATTCCACAGCCAGCATTGCTGGCTGTGGAATTCTGGGAGTTGAAGTCCACATGCCTTAAAATTGTCAAGGTTGAGAAACACTGTTCTAAGATAACATTGGCTGCCTTGTAAGTCATGCTTTTCTGGTGCATGAGACTGCATTACCTGCCCCAGCTGCTGTCCACCAAGCAATTTGAAAGCATGCAAACATGAGTAGATAAATAGGTTCCACTTTGGTGAGAAGGCATCAGCATTCTGTGCACCTCAGCATATAGTTGTGTTGGCCACATGACCATGGAAGCATTTTGGACAATGCTGCCTCCCTCAATTAAGAAGCAAAGATGAGCACCAGAGTCAGACATGACTGGACAGGGGAAACCTTTACCTTTAAAAAAGCCAATGTGGTCCTAGGATACATCAACAGAGGGATAGCATCAAGACAACAAGAAGTGATAGTACTGCTTTACACTGCTCTGGTGAGACCACATATGGAATACTGTGTCCAGTTCTGGTCACCATGTTAAAAAAAAGAGGCTGAGACCCTAGGAAGAGTGCAGAGAAGAGCAAAAGAGGTGGTAAGGGGTCTGGAGGCTAAATCAGAGGATGAATGGTTGAGGCAGCTAGGCATGTCTACCCTATCAAAAAGAATGGTCAGGGGGACATGATAACTGTCTTCCGGTACTTGAGCGGCTGTCACAAAGGAGACTGGGTTGACTTATTCACTAGGACACTGGAGGGCAGGACAAGAAGTAATGGGTGGAAATTTGTTAAAGAGAGATCCAACCTAGAAGAGAACTTTTCTGACAGAACAATTTATAAATGAATCTTGCCTCCTAGACTCGTGGGTGCTCCATCACTGAAGGTTTCCAAAAATAGGCTGGACAACCATTTGAGTAGATGTTATAAGGCTCCTGCCTTGAGCAAGAGGCTGGACTAGAAGACCTCCAAAGTCCCTTCCAGCCCTATGATTCTATGATAAAACCAAGGCCACCACAGAATCTGCATGTGTTAGTCTTCTAAATAGTGGTTGTAAGCAAGAAGCATGATTGGACTTCACTTATACTTGGCGTGCTCAACCTATAAAATTCCACTGCAATGTGTGGGATATTGGGACCCATCCAAAGCTCCACAGCGGATGTGCCCAGCCTGGAGGAACTCCCATTGTGAGCTCTCTGGTCCTCCCTTGCAGATTGATGGGTCCGATAACACCAGTAAAATCTATTTCTTTGCTTCTCAGGAAAGTACGACTGCAATCTTGGAATCTCTCAATTGGGTGGGAATCTTCCTGGGCCACACAAGGCACTCTAGACTCCATTCTTTGGTTAGCCACAAAGAAAGCTACTTCCTTTCCCCAACTTGTTCATGGAGAAATGGCTGGTTTTCTTTCCTACTTTGATGATTCCATTGGGAGACTTTGAAGTCTACCACTACGTTTGCATAAGACTAGGTTAATATATTGTTGGGTTGTTTGTGGCTTATTGGCTGCACAAGCTAGACGTGTTTATGAAGTAACCTTTTTTATGGCTTTCCACAATATATTGAACCACAAACTAACCCAAAGGGTAGTTTGTACATAAAATAATCAAGAGCCAAAATCAAAGATGGATCAAGCTTAGGACGATGCAAAACACGGAGAACCCTAGCCCAGCTTTCCACATTGTGGGAATGCATCCACTGCGTCTTTAATCAACCTGGTTAATTAAACTGTGTGAATCCTGACAGGTCTGCAGCCCAGGTTAATTTAAGGATCAGCTTATTTTTTATAAAAGATGGTTCATTAGTAATAGTAATAGTAGTAAAGTTGGAAGGGACCTTGGAGGTCATCTAGTCCAACCCCCTGCTCGGGCAGGAAACCCTACGCTATTTCGGACAAATGGCTGTCCAGTCTCTTCTTAAAAACTTCCAGTGTTATGAGCATATAATAAATATTGCGTTGGAAATAAATATACAAATAAGTGGCAAATGAAAGATGCAATTTCAAATAAAGTATATATACTGCTCTAGTTGATATCAGCCCTGGGTGAAATTTAATAAGGAATATTCTAATAATTCCTCTAACCATAATTAACATATCTCTATGATTCCACAACTTCTCATGATGATTCAAAGGTCCTTGAATGGTATTGAAGGCCTTTTGAAGAAAGGGATGGGTAGGGGGGGGGTCATCCATACCTCATTAGGCAGGGAGTTCCACATGTGGGGAGACTTCTACCGAAAAGGGCTGTCATATGGCCCGGATCACCTTTTCTCTCTAGGCGTTTGAACTGGGTGAATGGAGCCATGTTTGGTCAATGGCCTTTAATATACTGCTAATTTTGCTTACTTGCTTAGGTGTACACAAAGATAAAGAAGATAACTCTGTGCCAATATCTTGGTATCTCACTTTGACAAAAATCAAGGTTCTCCCAAAGTCTCTATTCACAAGATGGAAAGTAGGAAAGAAAAAGAGAAATCTCATTAATTAGATTGCTTTCAGATTGCAATCTCATTCATCTCCTGGGATTGTTAAGGGGCCAAAATTTTCCTCTTGGTCTCAGAGTTGAACAGATGGATACAGGAGGTCCACAGTGGGGGCGGGGGCAGAGGTGTTCAAAAGTCAAGATGGCGGCTTCAGTAGTGCAGTCTTGGCTGTGGGTCTTCACTTTTCTGATAGACACACCTCCCGCAGGTACCCCTGAATGAAAAGAAAAGGCTCATAACCAATAAGGAAAGAATGTCCACGTGATCGACATGTGAATCTCGTATTGGATCCTGAAGGGACCCTTAGCTATAACCACATTATAACATTAACTTATTCTGCAACATTTTGTTGGTTGATCAGCTTAATGCATCTGTGGAGGAGGCTGGTTAACCTGAAACTTCCTGGCCTCCAGAATTTCCAGCTGGACAGTTGTAGGTCCAAGACCTCTGGAGGATGAGAAGTCCAAAAATACTGCATGAGGGATCTGCAGGATGTGTAGGAAATAGATGTTTTTAAGCTAGGCTTAACAACCCCTTGGCTGCAGGTTGCACTCTAGATGTCCCCAAAGGTAAACCAGATGTTCCCCTGCTGTTTCTCTTTCTGTCTCTCGCTGGGCAAAGCGGGTTCCCAGGCTGGCCTCACCTTGCCCTCAGCCATCCCCCATTCCAAAATGGACCACGGAATCACCTGCCAGGGACACGGGTTCCTTCCCTTCTCCCACGCTGGAGTGGGTGGAGGTGCTGAGGCCTCGCCCAGCTTGGCAGGCTGGCTTTGGAGACGAGCAGCAGCCTCCCTGCCAGCTCTTACTCAGCCCTGCTCCCACTCCTTGTTGATGGGAAATGGGGCACTTGCTGCCGGCACGTGTTCGGCAACCTTTTGCAGAGCTGGCCCGGATTGGAGCTGTGGGGATGTGGCTGACTTGGCAAAGCCTGATCCCACACCCAGGGGAGGCCCAACTGGACGGGCAGTCCTCTCGGCCTTCCCAAGCTAGATTTGAAAATCCAGCCCAACTGCAGGATGGCCAGTTGTGGGGGTGAACAGTTGATTCTTTTTTGCAATCAGCAGAGGGGCACAATTCCTAAAATCCGCATCATGAAGGAAGCAATTTCATCATTAAGCAATCCCCATTCCTTACTAGCACTGATGATGTTACCTAGTTTGGGTAATGAAACGCCTGCATGAAAACCACCAAGCTCAGAGAGCACCGAGGAGCCTACAGTCCCCCTCCGTAGGGAGAAGGACCCATTCAAACAGTCCTGAAAGAGTGATTCCTTAATTTGAAGGGGCCTTTGTGCTCTCTGGGCTTGGTTATTTTCATTACCCAACCTTAGGAACACCATCATTCTAGGACTGTGCAATAATGAAGGACTGTAGAAAAGAACCAAGCTCAGAGACCACCAAGAACCCCACAGACCACCACCTCCTCATCCGGTCCAGCGTCCCAAACTCCCTGCTAATAGAATCATTTCTTTTTCTACCTCCTTAAAATTCCACACACTAAACAGAACAGAACAGATTGCCCAATAGAATAAAACAGATTACAAAATAACAGATTAGAATACGGTAGAAAAGACAATAGAACAGAACAGAATAGAACTATGATTGGAATGGAATGGAATGGAATGGAATGGAATGGAATAGAATAGAATAGAATAGAATACTTTTTTTGGCCCAAGTGTGGTTAGACACACAAGGAATTTATCTCTGGTACAGAAACACTCAGTGTACTTGCAAAAAACCAGAGAAAATAATAATGCTAAAAGTGGGCAACCAGTGAAAAGGAAAAATAAGAGATAATAAAGGGATAAATAATACTACAGCAACACTCCATGGGTTAATATACATACACATTAGACAGAACGTAGTAGTCACTGCGTTTTATCAACCATGAGTATCAGGTGTTAGGAAAGAATTGGCGAGAACTAGCAGCCTGATGGCATGAGGAACTACTGGCCTATATGTTTGGTGCACATCAAAACAAAACATATTAGGGAAAAAATGGCATGGCAGCCCCTGGGAGGGGATGCTCAGAGATCCGACCAATGACTCATCCTTCTACCCTAGTGTCCTCTTTCTATATTTAGATTGTCCTCGAGACAGTTCCTTCCGGTCTGCGATGGAATGGCTGAGGGTGCCTCTGCGCCCATGCCCGGGGTGCCAGGGGGTGGAGGCAGACAGTGAGGAGAGGGGAAAATAAGAGTGACCAGCTCTAGGTCTCTTCCTGTGTGAGGCTGTGGGTGCACGAGGATGTGTGGGTTTCCTTCCACATGGGACTTGCACCAACCTACTTAGTTGCTGAATTAATGTGGCAACTCTTTGTTCCTGCTTGGCCCACCACAAGCATTCAGACTTCCTGTCTGCAAACTTGCAGTCCGAAAGGCTTTTGCTCCCAGTGAATGGAATGGATGGGAGCAAAATCCTTGTGACAATTTCAGTAGGGGCACATACATTTGCAGAATGTCTCTGGAGTTTCTCAATCTTCCAGGTCGTGGTTGCTTTTTCCCAAAGGCAACTGGATTTCCTTGTTTTTTTTCCCTTGAAAACATTTCGCTTCTCCTTAAAGAAGCTTCTTCCGTTCTGATTCCTGAGGTCATGTGATTGCCTTCTGACAATAGGGAGGTTAGATTCACTTAACAACCATGTTACTAACTTAACAACTGCAGTGATTCACTTAGCAACCGTGGCAGGAAAGATTGTAAAACGAGGCAAAATTTACTAAACAACCGTCTTGCTTAGCAATAGAAATTTTGGGTTCAGCTGTGGTTGTAAGTCGAGGAGTTACTTATTTAATGTGGAGAAAAGCAAAGTTTTACATTTAGGCAGGAAAAATCAAAGGTACAAGGTACAGATTGGGTGAGACCTGGCTCAAAACCAGTAACTGTGAGAGGGACCTTGGAGTCCTGGTGGACGATCACTTGACTATGAGCCAGCAGTTGTGCAGCAGCAGCCAAAAAAGCTGATACAATCCTGGATTGTATAAACAGAGGCATAAAATCAAATCACGTGAAGTATTAGTACTGCTTTATAAAACCCTAATAAGACCACACCTGGAATACTGCAGCCAATTTTGGTCACCATTCTACAAAAAAGATGTTGAGAGTTTGGAAAAAAATCAGAGAACTAAGATGAACAAAGGAGACTAAAATATATGAAGAACGGCTGCGGGACTTGGGTTTGGCTAATCTAAAGAAAATAAGAAATAGGGGAGACATGATAGCAGTATTCCAATATTTGAGGGGCTGCCACAAAGAGGACTTCCTAACAGTGAGGACAATCAACCAGTGGAATAGCTTGGCCCCAGAAATCATGGGTGCTCCATCACTGGAGGTTTTTAAGAAGAGGCTGGGCAGTCACTTGTCTGAGATGGTATAGATCCTCCTGCTTGAGCAGGAGGTTGGACTAGAAGACCTCCAAGGTCCCTTCCAGATCTATTCTGATTCTGACTACCTCTGCTCTAGATGAACTTCATTGGCCTTTTCTTTGCTTTCTCCTGTGCCCTTAGAAGCGGAACCTCATGGGACCGGCTGAGGATCACAGGCATGTCCTTAGGGCACGGCCAGCCAAGGAGAGTTTGCGCCAGTGAAGTAATGCAGCCTTATTTATTTAGCTCAATGGGGTGGAGCAACATTCGCACCCTTGTCCTCTCTGGCAGCAAGATGAATCACCTGCTCAGAGATCATCTTTTCATCCCCTGCTGGCATTTTCGCTTGAGCACTCTCACTCTCTGGCCTTCTCACGTGCCGCTGAGAAGGTGGGTCATGCCCACAACCAGCTCACACACTCCTTTTGCACAAAAGGACACTCTGAACTATTGGAACAAAAGCTGCACACCTGGTTTAACTTGCTTTTTAGTTGTAGCGTTATTTTAAAATTAATTTAAAATTATTTTTATTATATGTGTTCTTATTCATCATTAGATCATGCTCAGTGCATTTTTATATATGTATATATGTAAGTAGCCTACACTGGGATACTTTGCTGTAATAAACTCATCTTAGTGTGGTGTGTTGAGCCAATCCATCCCTGCTCTTCCCGACTCGGTGTATCCCGGAGAACCCAAGGCAAGTTGAGCCAGAGATAAACAGCGCTTTTTTTGGTTGTAGCATTTTACAGAGGGAAGCCCCATTTGGAACACTGGAGATACTCGAGTAGGCTCTACAGGACAACAAGGAGCCTTGGTGGCGCCTTCTGAATAAACCTGGCTGGTGGAGCCTCAGTTGCCAAGAGCAGAGGGAGAAGATCTGTGCCGGAGGCATACAGCAATTTGAGACCTCCCTCCTGAGTCTGACGCACAGCCTTGCTGGTTTGGGAGCTCAGCATGATGGTGTTGGGGATAATTGCCCCAGTGACGGTGCCTTCTGTGGGTAGATTAATGCACACAGTCAGGGTTTGCCTGGGGCCCCCTGCAGGCAAGCAAAGTGGGCTGGCTTGTGCATGTGCAGCCTACAAAAGAGCGCACTCAGCTCTGGCGAAGGAAGCTGGAAAATGCCATTTGGTCTCCTCCTGTCTGTGCCTCCGTGGGGTGAGATTTTAAGTAGTTTTGTGCGTATCCCTCAGGCAAGAAATGGCTGGGCTGCAAACTGGATTAGTCTGGGAAGGCCAAGCTCAGCTGCTGGGATTTTCCTGGTTGTCAACCTAAGAGCAAGCAGCCTCTGAATGTCAAGACCCACAGATAGCCTGGTCCTCACCCAGAGGAAGTACCAAAGGCCACAGGGGGGAGGGCTGCATCTTAGAGGCACTAAGATGCAGACCTCCATCCTGGGGCATTTGGTATCTCACCGTCCCAAATCGGGCCCCCACGGGGCATTCAAAACGCAGGTAGTCCTTATGGCCACAATTGAGCCCAGGATTTATGTTGCTCAGTGAGAAATTTGCTCAGTGAGTTTTGCCCCATTTTACGACTTTTCTTGCCACATTTGTTAAGCAAATCGCTGCAGTTGTTCAATGAGTAGCATGGTGGTTGAGTGATTTGGGCTTACCCAGTGACTTTGCTGGTCAGAAGGTTGCAAAAAAAAAAAAAAAGATCGAATTACCCCAACACTCGTGACTATCACAAAAATGAGTCAGAGGCCAAGCGTCCGAATTTTGGTCTCGTGACCCTGGGGATGCTGCAATGGCCATTTGTGTGAAAAATGGCCATGAGTCGCTTTTTTCAGCGCCTTGTAACTTTGAACGGGTCACTGAATGAACTTGTAAGCCGAGGACTACTTGTA